AAAATTAAGGAAATGTTCTCAGACTATCCTTTTTTATCACTTTGCAGTACAAGCTCTTTACTTTTATGTGTCCTCCAGTTCTTGATTTGTCACAGATTGCAAATGCCAACTTGGACATTGGCCAGGCAAGAAGATGGGAAAAGGAAATGTCACTCACAGATATATTTCACCTCCATTTGCTTGCCTAAACTTCTAAGCAAGGTGTCAGTCACAGATTCATTAGCCATTTGCCACTTATTTAATAACTTTAAACCACAGCAACAATGTTAAAAAACCTCACCATGATGCTTTACAAACAAGTAATGTGTTATATAGCTGGAGTAACTCAGGCTGCCAAACCAATCTGGTTTTCCCATTAATTTTTCATATATTTCAGTATATGAAGCTTATAGAAATAAGTCTATAATTGGAAACTCTATAAATGGAAAGTCACAATTTGAGAAGGTAAATGTATGGAGATGTGCCTCTACATAGTGAGAACACTGTCTCTATCAGTTTAATAAACTGTTTCACATTTCGTTCAAGAAAACTGGGACAAAAAAAAATCCCAGGGTTTCATTTACAAGATGACACAGTCTTTCTAAATGTTGTGATTTTCCTGGAATATTACACATACACAGCACAACCCTAGTGAACACATCAGAAACATGGCAACTGCACTACACCATGTTTCCAGTTGCATGAACACCAAAATGGTGGTTTAAATTCCAGTCAACACTTCATGGAAATACATTTTAATAAGCTTCATGCCTGCTTTCATACCAGCATGACCAGACCTTCAAAATCCCACCCTTCATCCTTGACGCAGCCTACAGGACCAGCAGGATGCTTGTCATGAGCTGAATGTGTGTCAAACTGTCTTGGCTTAGGTGGATTGCAAAATTGTCACTCTCATTCTTTCTCTAGCCTTTCACTTTGCAGCAGAGGGGTCTGATCCTGATATCTCCTCAATGCTATATTTGTTCTTCCTTGGATGGTGGCATCTCTTTCAGGTCCCAGCAGAGACCTGGGCCCATTGCACAAATGTACAGAGAGCATCAGTTCCTGCTGGAGGAGTTTTCACTCTCAACAGAGGAAATGAACAGTAGGGCCTTGTTCTGGCTCTGAAATCCTGAGGAAAAGTGAAGCAAAGGGCTGGATCCATAAAAGCCTTTGGGGATCTAGATCTTCAATGAATTAAAACAGTAACCACAAAAGTACTTTTGTAAAGCATACATGATTTCCTCAGGCACAGAGGGAGCCAGGGAACTGAATCTAAAGCTGGACTGTTGCCTTAGTCCTAGGGCTAATCTGCTTGTAAACACCCATTGAAACAAAGGATCTCAAATGCACCACAGAGTGCAGATCAAGGTGATTGGCTACAAGTGATGCTTTTCCCCATTCAGACCCCCTGGACAGACAGCCAGTGGCACAAGCAGAGTAGTAGAGCTTACAGTGCTCAGTTTCATACAGATTTGTGACCAATGTCCCCACAAAACTCCTTTACAGCACTGCAATAACCACTATTGCCCATCTGTGATTCCTTCAGCTCTGCCTCCTCCATGGCCACTCGTTTCCAGCTGGCAAATCTGTTGAAAAGCCCTTTGTGCTGCTGCTGGGGTGGTTGGGCCACACTGCAGACGCGTTGGGTGTGTTGGGTGCCGTGGCAGGTGTGCACGGGCTTGGCAGGGACAATGTGGTCAGCCTCTTCCCTGCCCTGCTCTTTGATTCCATGTTTTATTGCAGGAATTGCAATGCTTCTGAGATCTTTACACTTCTGCCTGCTTTGTTTGACATTTCCCATAAAGGCACTGCCTGACAGACAAACAAATGAACAGTATGGCTGCATACACTCAGTTTCCTTAGGAAACCAGGCTGGAGACAGAAACATCTTGGGTGCGTTGGGCAAGATCTGTGGTTTCCAGGCATTCACTTCACTAAAAACTGACACGCACTGGAGCTGCTGGTCATGCATTAGCTCTCAATAGCTTCTTTTATCTCTCAGTGAAAGCCTTGTGTTACAGCCACTGCAGCATTTGATTGCTGTGGTTACAGAATTAACTAATTGCAAAGCAGAGCAAGCCAGTTAAGGGACAGAGATTTTCATACATGATCTGGTCCTGTTTTCTTGCTTCCTTTTGTGTACATGTAAGACAGAGAAAGACTGAAGGTACTTATAAACACAAACTATACATGCACTGCTTTTATGCACCATAGGAATATATATAAAAATATACACATATATATTCATGGACATGTTTCCATAAGGTTTTATAAATAATATTATATACAATATTTATATAGATGACTGCAAGTGATATTTTATAGGTGTGTATACATCTACATATAAATGTATATATGTGTATTTATTTTTATTGTTTATTTATTATTTAATTATTTTTATGTGTATACACACATGTATATATATGGCATATTAAGATGGGCAATATTAGAACACAGGGTTCCAAGTCATATTTGGGAACCTGGTTAAGAAAATGGTCCTGGTAAGTCTTCCCTATAACTTTTTAATACAAACCATTTTCCCTTTTGGAAAACATTGTCAAATTCTTGGCCATGGCCTCTTTTTTGTATGTTCACATCAAACTTTTTTTAACAAAAGGATGGAGTTTGCAATGTAACATTCTCATTCTTGCAAGTGCTGAGGTCATGTTTGGCTGGAGGCAAATAGGTCAGGTATGAATTCTGCTGTCACATCATCCAGGCCAAGGCAGTCATGATGCTGAATCTTGCAAAACGTGGTGGCCTCAGGTTCCTTATCACCAGAGAAACAAAGAGAGGCTTTGCACCTGCATACGAAAATGTGGGCAAGGATCACCCTTCCTTTCTGCCATGAGAGATTTCATGAAAGTTTCAAAAAAGAAATAAAACTTTAAATTCAGGAATGGTCTGCGTCTATCAAGAATCTATGGGCCAAATCCTTGTATACATATTAGGATACTATTGGTGTTAACAGCTTTTGAAGATATACAGCATTTTTCCTAATTGTTTTTATATAAGCATGGTATTATTTTCAGGCCATTCACATGAACTTTTAATTCATCATCACCAGAAAAATTTATGTCTCCAGAAACTAATCAAGCTTCTGCTGGATTATCAAGATGAAGACAGAAACTTTGTCAGCTGAAGGTAAAGCGAAATAACTGCATTACCACAAGTTCAGCCCTGTACTGGTCAGATCTCCAGATCATGTGTCACTCAGCAGTTCTACTGTGCCACCAGGGATTTTTGAAGTGGGTACTACAGTTCTCTTGTTCATGCAGAAACACAATTCTGCTCTCCCAACTGAAGTAACAGCAAATGTGCCATAGGACATGGCTGCTGTACTAAAAATTTATTGGAGAAAAAACTGGCTACAACATCCTTCAGTGATGATAAATTTCTTACCTGGAAAGGTAATGACAGGGTTGGGGTTTTTTTTTCTTTAGGTGGTATTTGCATGTGAAACCACTTCTGTAGAAAATGTTTACATTGGTGTTTACTCTAAGCATTAGCCCAGCTGGAATGAATGCACCAGAAACTATGTCAAGCTTTGCCTCTCCTTCTGCATCCACACATTCTCAGAGCTGATGTGAAGCCTAACACCTGTCTTCTCATTTAATACATCTCCTTTCCTCCACCCCAGTCATGCAAAACAAAGATTTGTGTTACTGGCAAGGTGGCAGTGGGAAGAGGCACCTGTGTGCTGGTAACACTGTGGGGAGCACGAGATGGTGGTGGTCCACAAGCACAGGGGACACAATTTCTATTTCCATCAGAATAAATGGATGCAAGAGGTCTTGTCCTTCATTTCTTATCTGGCTCTGTACATTTCATCTGCAGAGATATCCTAGGAGCAATATATCATCTGTGTGGATACTGAAAACATGAGCTCTGGGGTGGCTGTTTTGGATTCAGTCAGGCTATTCAAACTCAGAGAATGCAGAGAACTATGAAAATGTTCTTGGCACAAGATATTTCAAGAGTTTGAGGTGAGTCCAAGGAGAGCAGGACACAGAAGTTCTTGGACCCAGCCTATTAGAGTGAGAGACAGAAACATCACACAGAGATTTCAGGAGAAACATTCTTCCCCGTAGCCTTTTCCCATGAAATTCACCATGCAGTAGAATCTGACTCCGAATAACAGAGGGGTGATTCTAGGACTGATCTCAGTGTGACAGATGTTAGACTTAGCTGCAAGACCATCAAATCCTGGTGTCTAATGTTGAATATAAAACATATATGTCAGTTTTCCAGCTTAGATAATAACATTCAATGACAAAGAACTGACAATAAGGATGTCTGAATTTCATGTCTAAGCTAATGACAGCCATACTTTTGCTGTCATACTAGTGTACTGTTCTTTCCTATGGGCAATTAAACTGCTGGCTTAGTAAATGACAGTGCCAACAGAACTGTCATTTAAGTCCCAGCATCAGTGCATAAAGGAATTTCTGGCTGCTGTTAATGGATGAAGATCTATTAGAGTTTAAAATCTTGTTTGTTCAAGGCCTCTTCAAAAACAGTGTGACAAAACAGAGATTTAACATTGATGCCTTAGGTTTTTGCTTTCATATATTACAGATTCTGTACTGCATTAGTTTATAACTCTGAACTTCATGTAAAGTACTAGCAAGTTATCTTCACAGCTTAGACAAAACAATCCTTTTACAGCCCAAGAACCAAGGACACCACTGCAGCTTCAGGCCCAAAAAGTATAAACAACATCAAATTGAGGAGAGCAAACTTAGAGAATGGGACTTCATAACCTGAAGCTGTAATTGGACAATTAACCCAATATGTAAATGGACCCAAAACTTATGAAAATGTGAAAACTCATGACCAGTCATCCCATCTTGGGTGTAGCCTTGGCTGGGCTCTTGTACTGCTCAGGGTGTATCCTTTGAAGGCCTTTTTAATAAATATCTACTTTATTCCTTTAACACTGTCTAACCTCTCTTCTAGATAGCTTCTCAAGCCATCAACATCCTAACTCAGTAAAAAAACAAATTGCACATTGGCAATGGATGAAGATTCTCCTTTTATTTTAAAACCTCTGTAAAATCAGAGCAAAGGGTCAATTCCAGCATTCAGCCAATTTAATTAGCGATTTCAGAGTAATCATAGTAATGAGCCAAGTCAGCAAAGATGTCATTGGGGTTCCTGCAGTTCAGGTTGCAAAAACAAGCATTGATCCACATAATTTTCCAGGAAAACTCAGTTCCATCTGGGCACTGAAACCTCACTTCAATAGTCTTGGACTTGTAGGGTGTGCAGCACCTGTTGTCTGTGCAGACGCCGCAGTATTTGGGCCTGTATGGACTTTTGCTCACACATCCAGAGATGGTGTAGTTCATGGGTTCATTCGCCCTGTAGACAGCCAAGCACTTCTTCCCAGGCTAAATCAGAGAAGAAAATAAAAACAAAGAGGTTCATATTCAGTGCTGATATGTGTAGGACATAAAACCCACCTTGCTCTTTACGACTACCTGGAAGGAAGCTGAGGCAAGGAAGGGGACTCAGCCTCTTCTACCAGGTAAACAGTGTTAGGACAAAGAGAAATGGCCTCAAATTGTGCCATGAGGGCTTCAGGCTGGATATCAGGAAAAATTTCTTCACTGAAAGACTGATAAAGCATTTGAAAAAGCTGCCCAGGGAAGTGATGGAGTCACCATCTCTGAAAGTATTCAAAAAACAAATAAACGTGGCACTTTGCAGAGTGGTTTATCAAGCATGGTGGTATTCAGTCAAAGGCTGGGCTTACTGATCTTGGACATCCTTTCCAACTTCTGTTATTCTACTCTGTGATTCCTATGTTTAAAGGGATTTGTAGATTAGGAAGACTTTTACAGCCCTGACCTAGGTGGTATGAAAGATTTACATGTTTAGACACAGGAACCCAAAAGCTGCACGTAGGATACTTGCACAATAGAGTTCATAGCCATGACCAGGCATGCAGCACTGCTTTTCTGCCAGCTGAGTACAGGGCTGTCCAAGCCAGCATCAAGCACAGCAGGCTTGCCTTGGCTTTCTTTACAAGGACCTTTTGGCTGGAGCTGAAACTCTCAGGGAAAGGTTTTCATACCAACACAGGCAGGACATATTTTGGAACTCTGTGCAGCACAGTAAGTCCATGTACAAGTGCAGCCTCATGAGGCCTGAATGCTGCCAAACAAAGGCTGGCTCAGTGTCCATGCAGCTCGAGGGGTGCACAAAGAAGCAGTCCCCACCTTGATGTGCTGGGTTATATCCACCTCACAGGGCCTCATGTTGCACAGGCGGCTTTCCTTCAGGAGCCGGCACTGGTCGTTGTCATTGGAAATCCTGGTGGAGATGCCCAGCCCACAGGTCTTTGAGCAGGGACTCCAGGGTGAGGTGTGCACAATGCAGTTCTTCTGCCAGGCTTCATCCTCTCCCTCGTATGCTGCGGACACAGATTAAACCCACATTATTCAGCCTGGGCAGCTTTACATATTAAACACCCTCTCCCCAGCTCATTGCACATTCAGGCCACTAACCCAAATAACTAAACCACAGCGAAGTGGCTCAGCATTCCTGTGAACTCCCTCATCCCACCCCCTTTGTGCTGACCTACTTGTGTCAGACTCTCCATCGCTGCGAGCTCGGGGCCAGGGCTCATTCCTTTATTCCCCTTCACAGCCTCACACAAGGGGGTCCTTGTCTGGGACCCCCAGGTGCTGCCACAATATAAACAATTACAGAAGCCTGAGCCAGCGGGTGGAGAAAGGGGATGAGATCTGATCTCACCATGAAGGTTTATTTCTGAGCCCATTCAATTGGTTCCCCATAGCAGAAAGTGGTCAACAGTCTCTGCTGGATGGCAGAGGGCTTGGGAAGCAGCCACAGCCTTTCACTGGGAGGAAGAACAGCTTCAATAGCTCTCAGAGAGCTCAGCAGCCATTTCAAGAAAGGGTGGGCTCTGTTTTGAAAATAGCCAACAACCCAGTTAGGGTTCTGTCCCAGCCTCACCCACTGCTTTACAGCTCACAGGACAGTCACAGGCAAAAGTCTGATAGAAACTGCTGTGTTGAGCTTGCTTGCTGTTATATTTATTATTATATTAATTATTATATTAAATGTAATAAATCCTACTCTGATTTCTATAAGACTTCTCCTTACAGGAGAAAAGTCAGGAAAGCAAAGCTATGTTTTGCCCAGTTTGGGACACAGGCCATAGGGACATAAGGCCAGTTTCAGTAGTAGATATTCTGAATTTGGACCCACCCCATATTTCAGAGCTCTTGGGGACAGAGAAGCGAGGGCTAAACCCTGGTGGTTTTAACTCACAAATGAAGACCAATGCTTTTTTTTTTGTGCAACAAAAGACTAAGGTTTGGGAAGGTCTTCCCACCAAGGAGTCAAAATCTTTGTTTACAACAATCCTATCTCTCCTTGAGCTTTTGTGAGATGGTCTAAAACAGGAGCTAATGTGGCTAATGTCACTACAGTGTGTCACAGGTCATTTTGACAATAAATTTAAGACATATGGCAAGTTGAATCCATCTTAAGCATTTGGGACCATGTTTGAGGCAAATGATACCAGCTCTGTGCAGTGGGTTATGTGATCATTACTATAAATGTGAGTGTGAGGACAGAATGTTTAATGATGGCATCAGTTCAGAACTGATGAAGTTGTAATACCATGAAAATTGCTTAGCCCAACTCACAGTGAAATTTCCACACAATAACTGCCATCAAGGTGTTGTGTAAGTTTGAGACTCCTAAGTCCTATGCTAATATACAGGGGCTTTAAAATTGCACTACAATAGCAATATAACCTGGACGGAAAGCCTTGGTCCCAAATTAAACTGAGTCAATTCTCTTTCCAGAGGGCTCAGACTGAGGGGGAAAAAAATTAAAATGAAGAATTAAAAAGGACTTTTGAAATCTTCAGAGTTCCAGCAGACATGCCCTTCAAAGGGGGCTTTGGAACACAGAATTCCAGAATGGTTGTACAAGAATGTTTGATGAATATCATACTCACGGAATCGTGAAATGGTTTGTGCTGGAAAGGACCTTAAAGATCATCTCAGTGAACTCCCCTGCCATGGCCAGGGGTAGCACCCAACTAGAGCAATAGATAAATTAGGTTGTTTAGGGCCCCATCCAGCAGGGCCTTGAACACCACCAGGGATGGGGCATCCAAATCCATATTGCTACTAACGAGTTCCACTGGTGTTTGCCTGTCCTGTCCTTCAGAACGTGCTGTGTGGGAGGCTCTGTCTCCCTCACAAAGGTTAGACACCTGCCAGGTCTGGCAGTACAAACTGGTACTTTGCTTGTAGACTCTGCCAGATGGAAAGGAGCGATCTGCCTTGGCAAAGGAGAGATCTGCCTCATTCCCACCGTACCTGCAGAGGAGATGTGGCGCGGAGATGTCTTCCTGATTTTCCTGGAGTCATCACAAACCCACTGCTCGCAGCACTTCCCTGCCATCTTAATCAGCTTTGGGTTTGGGCACCAGACAAGTGGAGGACGTGAGTTTGTGCACATGGGCACACAGCCCACAGCCCCATTAATGCACGTGCAGTTGTATTTGCAGTTGGGCTGAAATGTCTCCCCGTTCTTGTACCTGACTCCATTGAGGACACATCCTACACCAACAATCTCTGAAAAGAAAGAAAAAGAGAGAAAAACACACAGAGCACCATTAAAAGAATGCTGGCACCAAACAGCTCCGATGTGTTCCTTTACCAAGCTGATCCCTGGGCTGGCAGTGCTGTGGAGCCACGTGTTCAGCCTGATGCTGCACCATGTGTAGTCACACCATCTAGGAAATTGTTTCCATTCTAAATCATAGCAAAAAAAGAGAACCTTTTAATGCTTCAATGAAAAAATAAGTTAGAAAATAAAACAAGTTTTATCCACAAATTTTTACTTTAAAAAACCAAAATAATTTCATAGCATGGTGGTAGGAATTACTCACAGGGGGAGAAATCAAAGTAATTAAAAACAATATTTAGCGCAATTTGAGGCTTTCAGAGACATATGAGAGGACTTCATGGAACTGCACATATGACATAGCTGTTTACAATACCTGTGTATATGTGAAGAAAAAGGGAAGGACAAACAAGGGTGCAAGTAAATGGCACTGGATTCCTATATTTCGGAAACTGGATTTTACCCAGTTTATCACAGAGCAGTTTTCTTGGAAAATGAAGTACACATTATAACGTCATGAAAATAAATATTTGATGTATGATTTTTTTTATATATAAAATCACTTTAAAAAGTCAAGCTTTGTGATTGTTCATTAGCAGGAATTACAGAGCAGCATTTTTGTTTTTGTTTATTTCAAATTATAGACAGTTATTTGGAAGCAGTGGCTCTCAATGGAAAATTCAAACTTTAGTCTCTTGTTTAGTCACATGGAGGCACTGCTCACGCACTGGTTGGGTTGCTTCTGTTTTGCGTCTGGCCAGAAATGAAGCTGCTTCAAGAAAACACAAATTGAAATGCTGGATTAAAAATCTGCAAAGGCTTCCTATTTTTAGAATGAGCTGAATGAAAACATCAAGCACAAATCCCTTCTTCTGCACAAAAAATGAGAGCTATTGGAATTTCAAGTACAGATCTAGATATCCAGTTCACACTCAGCTCCAATTTTTGTAATGCTTAAGCCTTTATACTGAAAAGGAAATCGCTCAGTGCTGGAGCTGAGCCTGAGAATTCAGAGAGACTTCTAGGTGTGCGCACAGATGATGACAGTTCAAAAAATGCTGTGTCTCCTGGTGTTTCCTCCTGGGTTATGCTAATTTAGTGTCCTGCAGGTCTCATAAACCAAGAGGTTCACCATGATGAGAACATCCCCAAACACAGACAAAGGGGCTGTTGAATGCCTTCATGAAGAACTTCACTGAGTCTGCACAAAAACAAAGCAATTTGGAGGCATGTCCCTATTCTCAGTCCCACATGCACAACACCTGCCTCACCCCCTGGGCCTGTGCTCAGCACCTGCTGCCTCTGCTCTGCTGCAGGGAAAAGCCAACAACAAAAGGAGAGCTGCAGTGACTCCCAGCAGGTTCCTATTTGATGTCTGTGTGGTTAAATTCTGGGGCACACTTCAGCACGGCAGTCCAGATACAGCCTGAATTTCCCCCAGTTTGATCCCACTCCCTTTCCCAACACATATTCCTGACTCTTTCAGGGTCTTTAGTTTCCATAAATGATATTGTTTCTGTAGCCTTTCATGCCCTGGATTCTCTAGATCTAGCCAAAAGCATCCATATGCAAAGCTAATTCCTCACAGCAGTTAGTCCCCAACACCCAGCACAGGATCCCCACTCCCAGGAACTGTCAGTCACCAGGTCAGGACAGAAGCTGGAGGGCTCAGAGCAGGGTGATGCAGCCTCTGGGTACAAAAAGAACACATCAGCAGACCCTGTCCTGTACCTCTGCCTGGGTGCTGAAAACAAAGGAAAGGCCACAGGTTTCTCAGGCAGTCAGAGACAGTCTGCCTCACATCCTAACCATGGGAACACCTTCCTCTTGCTCCCTTCAGCTGTGCACACTGTAATGCACCATAAATGTCACATAACCATAAGTGTCACATGTTGCCATGATGGTAGGGAAGTGAAAGCACAGACTGGGAATCCCTCCAGAGCTCACTGGAGAAGCTGGGATCAGTCTTCCTTCAGCACAGTGCTGCTGCCACAGGCGCACCGAGCGCCTGTGATGTGTGGGAGGACTGCAAAGACCAAAAGATATCCAACTAAGAAAACAACCATTTAAATAAATAAACAAATGCAAAGCAACATGAGGGCCTTTAAAGAGCCCTAGGAAGCCTGATAGCTTTGAGACAACATCCAGCCTGTTTTCCTCTCCCAGCACAGGGCCAGCTGTAACGATGTCATTCTTGACAATGTTTGTCTAACCTGCTCTTGCAGACCTCTCATGAATGTTCTACACACACTTCAGACAATACATTTAAATGATCTCATATCCTCCTTTCTTAACCTTAATCTTTTCTAATCTTGAAAATCACTGTTTCAGCTTACAGCTCCTAGCACGTAACTTCTCTTGTTGTTATTTTGCTTGTATCCTTTGCATGCTTGCTTTCTTTTCTTTTTTTATTTTTTTTTATTTTGTGCCTGAGCCAGTGCAAAGCCAAGGTCATTTCTTACTAGACTTCCCACTCTTCTCCTGAGGAAGAGCAATGCCTAGTATCACTTCTGTGAGAATCTGCCAGTTTACCCTGAACTTCTTAACTCTTCAAACCTGTCCCTTGTGTAACCTCTGCTCATATTCTAAGTTTATTGAAGCCCACACTTTGTGAGCTTTTTCCTCTTTTGTGATTAGTTTTTCCATCAGTCCATCTCACACTCAGCTCTCCTCCAGATTTCCTTTCACCTTTACATTTTCTCTTAATTAATTTGTTTTTATGTTCCAGTCCAGAAGCCCCTTGATTTGAATGGCTTTTTTCCTGTTTATGAACCTAAAGCCATGACTATATGTTCTAATAACTTACTAAATGCAACCTTTCTGATCAGCAATGTGTGTGGTTGTGCTGATGATACTTTCACTTTAAATCATTCCCAGAGTAATAATTTTCAATAATTTCTGATTTTATGAGAGGATCAGAGTCCCCTCATGTTCTGGAACTTAGAACAAGTGAATATACTCTTAATACACAAAACACCACCCAATTTCTTTTTGCGCTTTTTCTTGAAAAGCATTCCAGTGTCACAGAACCAAGAGTTTGCTGTCAGAGGCAGGAAGAAATCCTTCTGCCTCATAACAGCTAATGTGACTGTAACCATTGTAAAATTAAGGCTTAAGCCTCAATTTGTAGCTGACAAGCTCTGATAGGAGATAATTCATTCCTGACCATCTTGACAGGGTATTCTACAGTGCTATCCTTCTAAGGTATCTGCTATAGGGAATTAGCCAAAAGTGTCCCCTTAATGTCGTGGTTTTCATGTAGGGGCCCATATTGCCTATCCTTCCTTCATTCCCAACCTACTACAGCACCTCCTCCTGTTACAGGGACTACAGAATAATCTATTTACACATATGAAGGCTTTCAGATGCTGGTTGGTCTTTGCTCTTGGCTGCAGCCAAATCAAATGGCAGGAATTCAGATGTCATTTCTCATCCAGACAACTGCCCTGAGAACAAAGACAGCGACAAGGGAATGGAAGATGATGCACAGAGGAGCTGATAAGTGTGAAGCCAGGTATCTAAAACGAGATAAATCTCAACCCCTGCTCAGCCTGACGGGAGCTGCCAGCGTATATCTAAGTCAAAAATATATGTACATCACTTACGTGCACATACTCCTATTTCGTACCTAGGTCTGTCTCCACTGTAGTCACAGTACAAGCCCCTGTGGAAGTCACAGGTGTCAGCCTCTGTGCAGCTCTCCCCTCGCTGCCTGGCACACGTCTTGCAGCAGTCACAGCCGTCCGTGACCAGGCTGACGCCGAGCGCGCACCGCGGAGGGGACTTGGGGCACTCGCAGGGCCACCTGCAGTACTGAGTCCGTGTGTAGGTCTCTGTCGTGGCTGGGACACTGCTGGTCATAGTGAGGGAGGTCTGGCCAGTGGCCTGCAAACAAAGAAACACAGCTTGCAGAGCGTTACAGAGAAACGGGGGGTGCAAACCCTGCGCTGCTTAGTGCTCAGTGAAAATCCCCTCTGGTCTCATGAGTAAAAAAACTTCAAGAAACCAAGCCTGCAAGTCAATTCAAAACTTGATAATCAGATAAAAAACCTGGTTAAGGTTAATGAAGGTAGGAAAGGGATTTCATGTAACACAGTGATGCGATACCAGGTCACTGTTACTGAGCTCATGGAGTACTGGGATGCCATAGTTCATATCAAAACCCACAGAAGATAGAAGCTCATTGGATTCTGAGCTCTCAAATCCCTAGACAACAAACTCTGGATGACATTTAACAGCATCAGCCATGCTTGTGGTGCAGGAAGGGTGTAAATCAGGCGAGTGACAAAGGAAAGATTTCATTTTTCTAAGAGGATCACTGCAAAGAAAACCTGTGCTGTACATGGGCATCAAGCAGGGAACAGTATCTCAGGCACAGAAACAAATAGAGTTATTCACATGATGTCAACAGCAGAAGGAACATGGCACTACATGGGCACATGTGGTCTAGAAGCCCTTTCTAGTGCTGCAAAAAATAAATAGGTAACCCTAAAAACTTCAAAGAAGGAAAGTCAGACTCTAGAAATTGCTAAGGCAATTCCCTCCCTTGCTGCTTTCCCTGTACTGTACTTTATATCCCCAGTGTTTTTTCCTCTTTGCAGTTTGAGATGTCTCAAACAAAAGGCTTTCCAAAAACTCTCCATGAAGAAAATGCATCACCCAAGAGTTTGTGGGAAAATACCCCACAGCTGGTGAGCTATCCATCAGGATATCTCTGCCAAGTGTATTTATTCTCTTTTACAGTTTCTTTGTTAACAAGCTCAGAGATTTTATTAAAGTACATTTCTAAGTCTGCTGCTGTATCTGAAGGTGTATTTAAACATCTTGGAAAGTTGTTATCCTATATTTAGAACACTAAATTGTGAACACATTGCTAATCACTGCCAAACAGACAATGTGTTTGCTCTGGGCATAATTCCCAATTCCATTAAGGCCCCCTTTACAAACAGTTGGCTCTAAAGTAGGCTTATAAACACCTTTAAACTCTTGTTTAAACTAAAACATACCAATATAATTTACTCCCACTTTAAGGCTCCTTGATGCTGTCAGAGTTGTTAAAAGAGGAACATTCAGATCGATGAAAAGCCCTGGCCTTTTAATCGTAGGATTTTTCATTCCACTCACAATCATTTGAGTAGGTGCCATAATCTGCCACTTGAGAAGAGAGGCCTCCTCGAGTGCCATAAACCTATTTACTTGGTTGGTGATCATTAAAAATAAAAGTGCTTAATAATCAGGTCCAGATACACAGACAAAAGTCACACAGCTATTTAAAGAGCTCATTGCCACAGCCCAGCCCTGTAAGTAAATCCCTTCACCATCTCTTGTTTCTATTGTCAACATGAGCAAGCAGCTTCTCCCTGTGCAGATAGGAACGTGTCTGTGAGCCAACACACGTAGCAAAGAGGAGCCCTTGTGCTCCTGTGGGTTTAGTTAATATGTGAAGGGCTGAGGCTGAATTCTTGTAAAGCACAGAATAGCTGGGAGACTTTTGGTGGCTTGTGAAAAACAGGAGTTTAGAGTGAATTATTCAACAGCCCTTCCTCTAGGTCTGACACCTGAGCTGGCCAGGGAAGCCTTTTCAGTGCCCTTACAGTGAGGTACTGTCGTGGATCTTAGATGTGCTGGCTGAATTGTGTAGAGGTGTGGCTGAGTCCATTGGATGGAGAGTGCACATGAGCATTCTCAGATAATCAGTGTGGACAGGCATCAAAGTACCATCACTCCTGGGTTTTACAAACGGGGAAGGCATGGACTGATGAGGTTCATGTCATCATGCCCTAGGCTCCATCACCACCTAAGCAAAACCCAGCCTTTGGAAACAGTTGTCCATTGTAGCCTTTAAAAGTGCACAACCTGTACAGCGTTGCAGGCTCTCCTCCTCTCCCCTCCTAAGTCCCTCAGACCTTCACCGTAAGAAAAACCATTCTGTACATTTATAGAAATATTGGTTTTCCCATTTCCATGGTCAGCTGTCATCACTGGAATACCTAAGTTGCTTTGGAAAAGTCATTCAGCCCTACTACTTCAATGTCCCAAAACATTTTAGAAAATAGACCCTTCAATTTTAATGAGTATGTTGGTTAAATCATCATGACCAATGATGTCACAAGTGCTATCAACAGGAAATCACACTGTAAGAACCCTCCCCAATGCCCATCCTTCATTAGAAAAAAACACCAAACAAACAAAAAAATCCACCCATGTAATTAAGATTCCAGGATCATCTATTTAGGGTCAGTATAATGCAGAGGAGGACAATGATTTTGTAAGAAATCTGCAATAAGATTTCAGATTAAGAAAGAGATAAGAGCAAAGAGAAAATGAACACCAAAAGTCACAGTAGTGGGGATTTGACAAGCTTATTTTAAAATATCAGAAAGACGAAAGAATATGCCTGTTAGGTAATTAATTTTCTGAAGTACTGGTAATTAACCTGTTTAATTTATTTATTCTTTAATCTTGGAGTCTGCAGATTTGTTATCTTGGATTCCAAGGAGAAAATATTCCACCAAAATTAATCATGAGTTCTAATTTTTCTGCTTCTGGGGAAACAAGCCTATCCTCATTAAAACAAGATGAAGCCTTTCCCACCCTGCTATGCCTGATAATTCTCTATTAAAGTCACTCCTGATTTATGCTTGGCAAGCTCCAAAATTACTTTCTTTTTGCATCTGCAGAGCAGATTGCTAGCAACAATTCCCAGCTAATTTCTGTCTTCACATTCAAGAGAAAAGAAGGAGAAAAAAAAAATTACCCACTATCTGCCATAACCACAAACTCAGTATTTTTAATACTCAGGAGTTTTAAGATATAAAAGTTTCAAGATATAAAATGGATAGCAGCATTTTAACAGCACATTCTTCCTACTGGCAACATATATTTTCAATCTGTTGAAAAATACTGCAATTGTAAGCATGTTTTAGTTTTGAAAACTGGAAGAACCAAGCTATGGTGGTGAAACCAGTGTATATAGCCCAAACTGCAAGCCAGGCAGACTTATTGCAGCACTTTTACATAATACATGAGAAGCCTCTACCTTTGATTTAAAGCAGCAAAGCATCACAATAAACCCCTTTGCTTCCAGCTTTTACACATGTTTAAAAATATATTCACGTGTATTGATTTTACTGTTTCAGTGCTGCAAGATCTTATTCTTAAAACCTTTTTCTTTCAAGTATTTTACTAGCCAGCTGGGTGAAGGCAGGGAGAAGCTATCCCTGTTCTTCCCTTCCAGTTTATTGATGGGAAATGTTCAGACAGGATGGTGACTTCTAAATTGGATTCCTTTGGCTGCCAAGAGAGCTGGAGAAGTGGTTCCATAGCAGCAAAAACATTAGTACTTTATCAGCTTCCACTGTTTTCTCCTTGGTGGTAATTTAGTCTCAAAGGACAACTTTTTATTTCAGTCAGAGCTGCCAAAGCTGTGTTTTGCAGGATGCATATTGTTGCGTGAACTACATTTAATTTCTCACAGTAGAACACATTAAAGAAGTAGTTTTAACCTACATTTCTGATACTGCCTTTCTGAGCAAATGACAGATGTTGTTGATGGAGGGATATGATGTGATCTGGATTATCCTGTTCTCTATCTCTGACATACTCACAAGTGAAAATGATTAGTGAGGAAATTTTATTAAAACATTCTCTCTACTACAAGGTCTGACAACATCATCCTGTCACTGTTTAGAAGTAAGTCCAGATTTGGAGTTTGACTGTTCTAAACAAGAACACTGAAGTTAAAAACGCAGATTTATGCAGACACTTTGGGATGCATCTCCTAGGATAGGGCAGAGCACTTGTGCATAACACACATCTGCTTTCCCCTGGTTCCACCTACTGGCTGAACTATTGAGACAGCACAAGCAGAAATGCCTGTAGAGTCAATTCCAGTTCCAAGAACCACCCTAAGTATTCCATTATCCAAAATTATATTAAAGACACCCCAGGAGACTCATGAACTTTCCCAAAGTTTCTAACACTAACCTGGTATAGCACATTCCCAGGGAACACAGCATCTGGAGCTCAATAAATAAGTAAAAAAAAATAAAAAATTAAAAGACAAAATAAAATATAAACCATCCATTATATAAAGCCACGTACCTTTCCATCCCTCAGTTGTATTTCTGGGCAGGCATAGAGAATGTTTAGTTTCATTCCAGAACTGACAGAAGTTAAAAACTCATAATGCTTGTCAGAGAGATGGCAATGTAAAACAGGACCTGGCTTACATCACTGGGCTTAAATCAGACCCTCAGGGTAGACATTTGTTCTTGATTTTGCTCAGCTGAAACTTCTGTGCTGAATATTTCTGAAAATTTGCATTATTATTATACCCAAAACAGATGGGTTAACAGAGAGCCAGTTCTTACAGGGAGATCAGCAGTAATCACAGTACCATCAGGACTTCCTCACTGTTAAACTCTTGCAACAAATCCCTAAGTCCCCCTGAATGCTCATAAATTGTCACAAGCTAATGCTAGGGACAAGTAGCATCAGGACAGAGACATAAATCTGTTTCTGCAGGACACATAATTTAATGGTCAGAGGAAAATATGATTATGCAGGGCTCAGCTTCTCCATGCATGAGGGTCTAGATACCTCATTAAAATTGATCCCAGACATGAAATCTCCTGGACATATTGTGAAATAACAGACTCTGAGCTCAGAAAATATAAGACAGTTTTAAAGATGTCAGGTGCCAGCTGGATTTATTCTTGCTCTGCATGGTAGGTTGAGCAGAAAAGAACATTCTGCATGAAGCAAAACACCCAATAATAGCCTAAGAAAATAAAATATCCCCAGTGAGCCAATCATTATATGTCTGTGGATCCATGAATGATGAGCAATCAGCTTCCCATAACTTTATTTTTGGAAATGTATCT